TTTTTTTTTTTTTTTTTTTTTCGATTCGAACTTTGTTGGAAAAAAAAAAAAGTTGAAGGATTTGGGCCTCGCGCTGTGTGACCACGCCAGGCACCATTTTGGCAATAATTGCCAGAAAGTCCGGTTCGTGTCTTTTGTGATATACTGCCGCTATGTAACTGGGCGGGGTGGCATTTCAGCAAAATCAGGATAGCAAAATTCGCACATTTTGCTGCTATCCTACCGCTGTGTGAGTGCGCCCGCGATGTTGGCTGTGGGGTAAGTTTTTTTTATCCGGTTTACTGAGTAAGTTTTTTTTATCCGGTTTACTGAGTTCACCTGGGACACCGTGACTTGTAAAGACTGTAAAGATCTCAATGAATGACGAGAGTCTTATCAGACTGCAACAGAGTTGTACCTGGATACCTGTGAAGGTCTCGCTGAAGGTCAAGTGTTGTCAAGTCTCAGGAGCGGAGGAGGGGGCAGATATGGAAGGATGCGACAGTCCTCTGAAGACAGCAACAGCCCTCTGAAGACAGCAAGCTACAGTCCGTTCCAAGTCGGAGGAGCGGAGGAGGGGACAAATATGGAAGGATGTGACCAGACTGTTCGGAGAGGGTTTGCAAAAGCTGAAGGTTCTGTTTACAAGAGACGAAGTGTCGCAAGTGGTGATGTTCGGATGGTCGTGTCCTCAGGTTAGTTACAGCGGCACTACCTTTCATGACTGCTCTGGTTTCCAGGGGGTCTGCCTTTTCTAAGTGGGTCTGTTGGATTGACCATCTCATGCATGGCCACAGTTTTTTTTTTGGTTGTCTTCAGGGGTTGGTTCCATTTTTCAGCAGCCTGGAGTCGTAGATGGAGGGGGGGAAGGAAAGAAGGGGGAGAAAGGTTGCTCACTGGCTTTGGGGGTCTGCCTTTTTTTCTAAGTTGGTCTGTTGGATTGACGATCTGATGGCCACAGTTCTTTTTGGTTGTCTTCAGGGGTTGGGTCCCATTTTTCAGCGGGTCGTGGAAGGAGGGAGGAGAGGAAGGACTTGCGGGGGGGCGGAGAACGATTGCTCACTGGCTTGTTCAAGCTTTGGAACGCTGATTCGGAATCTTTGGACAGGTTTAGCTAGTGCATATTGTACTTTTTCAGGCTCCCCCGCGCGCCCCCCCGTCCGTCAGGGGTTGGGTCCCATTTTTCAGCAGGTTGTGGACGGAGGGAGGAGAGGAAGGACTTGCGGGGGGGGAGAACAATTTCTCACTGGCTTGTTCAAGCTTTGGAACGGTGATTCGGAATCTTTTGGACAGGTTTAGCTAGCGCATATTGTACCTTTTCAGGCTCCCCCACGCGCGCCCCCCCC